ATCCCAGCGGCCGCGTGCCATAGGGGCTATTTGAAACAAGCTCACGGCACTTGGGCTTGTTCAAGCTGTTTCTGGCTGAGAATTCTTCCCCAAGAGAATTTCCTTAGAAGCAAGGAAGAACAAATAGAAAGAGAAACAGCAACTACTCTCTAATTCCTACGAATGCATTTTTATATGTACAGTACATTTACAATTCAGACATGCGGCTCAGAATGTCGATTCAGGTGGCCAGCCCCAACATCGAGCCGCATTCCATATTTCTACTCACGTTTGTACACCTCACTGCACCCACATACATGTTACATTTCTATTCCTCCAAGTCTGGACTTTCGCCACCTGTCCCACGCGGAAGTCCCCCCAAGTCAGTCAAGGCACGAAACCTCAGTTTCGCCCTTCTCACGTGGGTCCCCCACGTCCTGCTCACTTCCGTCCCTTTGCTGCCCACGTTCACAGTTGCACGCTGCTGCTGCATGCTTTCGCCTCCCGTGCGCTTCACGCTGCCTCTAGTGCAGCCCCCACTTGTTACATTACCTCCCTTCCCTGAAGGCACTGTCCTCGGTGCCAATGAGGCAAGATACACTCCAATGGCACGAGGAGCATGGCTGAGGTTGGAGAATGGCTCCCATGAATCTTCAGATGCAGATGTGTTGCGCCAGTGAATGAGGTATTCACGGCCAACCGGGGTGTCACGGTGTGAGAGGATGGTCTCGACCTCATGCAGGTCCGGATGGGCAGAGAACATGGGTGGACGGGGCTGGAATGGGTGAGAGGGGGTACGGTAAGATCGAAGAAGGTGAACATGGAAAACAGGGTGTATGATCATGTGAGGAGGAAGTTGAAGGTGGTAGCTGACCGATGAGAGAACCTTGGTGATGGGGAATGGTCCAACGAATCTGGGTGCGAGCTTGCGAGAAGTTCCAGCATTCAGCAGGGGCAGGTTAGCCGTTGAAAGCAGCACCAAATCACCAACTCCGAAAGTGGTGTGACGCCTATGCTGGTTGGCATAGCGAACTTGGCGCTCTTGTGCAAGCTGAAGCTTCCTTCGGGCAAGTTGGAGAATGCGGTGATGAGAAGAGATGAAATCTGCTGCTCTGGGGTTAGGAGAATGAAGAGGGTGAGGGAGGGATATGACTGAGCGTGGTAGCTGTCCAGTAGCTAAAAGAAACGGTGGCTCTCCCGTGGCAATGTTGGGGCTGCTGTTGTAGGCAAACTCCACTGCTGCCAAGTGCTGCTCCCAGTCAGTTTGCATAGAATTCACACACGAGCGTAGCGCATCCTCCAAGGTTCTGTTCATGCGCTCTGTCTGACCGTCAGTTTCAGGGTGGTAGGCTGTAGAGAGTCGAATCTGTGTGCCCAACAGTTGAAACAGTGCGGTCCAGAAGTTACTGAGGAACCGTGTGTCTATGTCACTGATTATGGCTGAGGGCAGTCCGTGTAGCCTCACCACATGCGTGAAAAACAGCTTTGCATTTTCAGCAGCAGTCATTGTGCCGGTTGTAGGGATGAAGTGAGCCATCTTGGACAGCTTGTCAATCACCACAAGAATGCTGTCAAAGCCTGTAGGGGTGCGGGGTAGGTCTGTGATAAAATCCAGAGAAACACAAGTCCAGGGGGCTGTGGGTATCTCCAATGGTTGCAGCAGACCAGCCGGTGCAGTGGTGCGAGCCTTGTTGACCTGACAGGTAGGACATGAAGAAACATACTCTGCTACACTCCGGACAGTCTAGGCCAGTAGTAGTCACGAGAAATGGCAGCATACGTCTTGTCACTGCCGAAGTGTGACCGATTGTCATGGTACTCGTGTAGTAGCAGTTGGCGAAGCCTGGAGTCATCAGGTACACACACAGCACCAGAATCTGCACGGGTCCAAAAGGGATTGCTGAAAAGAAAGGATGGGTCATGGGGGGCTTTCTGTTGGTACAGCTGATCACGGTTGTAACCACGGCTGAAACGAGTGATGAAGTTGCGGTCCCATGTAACCACTCCCATGACATTCAGCTCCTCTGCTGCTGGCCGTGACAGAACATCCGCCGGATTGAAGCGCCCTGGTTTGTACACAATCTGAACATTGGGAACGTACTGCTCCAAAAACTGAACCCACCGTGCCTGCCGTGGTGTGATCTGTGACTGTGTTTTCAGGTACTCCAGTGTTCGGTGATCAGTGAAAACTGTAACGGGCTGCATCTCCACATAACAGCGCCACTTCTTCAGTGCATGCACCACAGCAAGTGCCTCTCTCTCGTGAATGGGGTATGTGCGCTCTGCAGCAGTGAGCTTTCGTGACTCAAAGGCTATTGGCTGCAGCCCAGCTTCCTGCTCCTGGCAGAGAATTGCTCCAAGGGCAACGTCTGATGCATCACACCAAATGAAGTATGGGAGCTCTGGATTCGGTACTGCTTGGGCAGGGGGTGAAATAAGAGAAGTTTTGAGCTGCTCAAAAGCTTGCTGCTGCAATGGTCCCCAACTGAATGATGAGTCCTTCCGCAAGAGATCGGTCAGAGGTGCTGCCACTGCTGCAAATCCCTTCACAAACCGCCGGTAGTAGTTAGCTAACCCCAAGAAAGCCTGCACCTCCTTCACTGTACTCGGCTGCTTCCACTCCTTCAGGACTGCTACCTTGCTGTTGTTTACTTCCAGCTTCCCATGTGAAATGACATGACCCAAGAAAGATAGCTTGGTCTTTGCAAACTCACACTTGGAACGCTTGGCATACAATCTGTGCTCACTCAGCCGTGCAAGGACCAGCTCAAGGTGCTTTAGATGCTCCTCACGAGTGCGACTGTAAACCAGCAAATCATCAATGAAAACCACCAGAAACTTGTCAACGAAATCACTGAAAATGCTCTGCATCATGCCTTGGAAAGTGGCTGGAGCGTTGGTGAGACCAAAGGGCAACACTCGAAACTCATAGTGACCGTACCGTGTTCGGAATGCTGTTTTTGGGATGTCCTCACTCTGAATCCGCACCTGATGATACCCCGAACGCAGATCCAACTTTGAGAAGTACCGTGCCTCACCAACTTGCTCAAACAGCTCATCTATCCGTGGCAGTGGGTATCGGTTCTTCACTGTTATCTTGTTTAGCCCGCGGTAATCTACACACATCCGCAGAGAACCGTCCTTCTTCCGCACGGACAGCACCGGAGAAGCATACGGAGAAGAACTAGGCTGAATGAACTCCTTAGCTAACATGTCCTCTAACTGCTTCTTCAGCTCCTTCAGCTCCACTGCACTCATCTTGTAGGTCGGTCTAACTGGTGGGGTAGATCCAGGAATCAACTCTATCCTGTGATCTGCAGCTCGCTTAGGAGGAAGTCCAGCCGGAAAGTCCTCGGGAAACACCCCTGAAAAATTTTCCAGCAGCTTCTCTTCACCCCGTGTAACTCCTGATCCTCATGTGATGCTGAAACCGTTGGTGTTACTGCGTCAGGTGATGTAGGCTGGACCTCTGTGATGAGACCTAGAAAAACTGCTTCCTCCCCTCGAATGGCCTTACCAAACTGCTTCGCACTAATCAGCTGGAAGGTCATCCCCTCCTGCTGCTGCACCACTGGTAGGCGAATCAACCTCCCCCCAAACAACACCTTCACCTCCCTGGTTCTCCAATCCACCTGAGGGTTCACTGCTGCCAACCAATTCCTGCCCAAGATGATGTCATGACCGTGTACAACTCAGGTCCACAGCTCCTCACTACACCATCCGCCATGCGCACCGTACTCTCCACTGTACTGCTCTGCACAGGTAACTTCAATTCATGCACCAGCCAAGAAGAAATGAAATTGGATGAAGCACCACTATCCAGCAACATCTTTACCTCCTTACCACGAATCTGCCCCCGAAGTACTATGGCTCCTTCCGACTCCTGCTGCAGCGGCGTTGAGGATGGAGTCAGCAAGGTGGGGCACTCCTCACCACCAGCAACTCGCCCCGAAGCTACTGGTGAGGCTTGTTTCCCGGCTGCCTTGGCTTGGTAGGGCAGTTGAGTGCTTTGTGGCCACGCTTCCCACACTTGAAAAAATTTCCAGCAAAGCCCTTCCGCTTCTCCTTGTTATTGTCAATCGTATCCAGCTCCATTGGTGTCGGTCCTGCACCACCACGCTGCTCCCCATGGAAAGGCTGGAACATGTTCGGACTGAACCGCATCCCACGGTTAAAACGGTTGCGACGGTTACCGGAATGAATCTCATCGTATCGTTCAGCGACACACGCCATCTCCTCAAGCGAACTACATCCCTGCACCTCTACTAACGTCATCCTTCAACCCGCACTTAAACTTGTCCAGCGCCTCAGCCGTTGAAAGGTCTGAAATTTCGGTGGAAATGTCACGAAATTCAGCGATGTAATCTGCTACAGAAGTACGCTGCCGCAGATTTGCAAGTCGATCACGCGCCCTTGCCATCGCGTTGATAGGTTCGTATGACGCAACAAGAGCTTCCTTGAATTGCTGCCAGGTTTTGGATAGCAGGTCGCACCGATTGCCACCATGCAACCGCAGAGCCTCGGAGTAGGGTTCCAGCAAATGATGCCCACTCCTCACCAGCCACATGGCTCAAGCGTAGATATTCTTCCATTAGGAAGAGCCATCGTCGAACCACCGGTTGTCCTTTCCCTGGAACAAAGGTGTCCGGCATCGATGCTCTCACATGGGAAAGAGATCCCACTACGCTTCCCAGAGCTGTAGCTACGCTTTGCTGTGCAGCTGCGTTCTGCAGGGCAGCCTGCACCTCCTTGGCTACGAGCTCTCGAACCGCGGCATCACGCTCTGAATCGGCCATGGTGCAAAAATCTCCCGGCAGCAACTCACGAGGAAAAAACAGGCTCTGATACCAAGTGGAACAAGCTCACGGCACTTGGGCTTGTTCAAGTTGTTTCTGGCTGAGAATTCTTCCCCAAGAAAATTTCCTTAGAAGCAAGGAAGAACAAACAGAAAGAGAAACACCAACTACTCTCTAATTCCTACGAATGCATTTTTATATGTACAGTACATTTACAATTCAGACATGCGGCTCGGAATGTCGATTCGGGTGGCCAGCCCCAACATCGAGCCACATTCCATATTTCTACTCACGTTTGTACACCTCACTGCACCCACACACATGTTACATTTCTATTCCTCCAAGTCTGGACTTTCGCCACCTGTCCCACGCGGTAGTCCCCCCAAGCCAGTCAAGGCACGAAACCTCAGTTTCGCCCTTCTCACGTGGGTCCCCCACGTCCTGCTCGCTTCCGTCCCTTTGCTGCCCACGTTCGCAATTGCACGCTGCTGCTGCATGCTTTTGCCTCCCGTGCGCTTCACGCTGCCTCTAGTGCAGCCCCCACTTGTTACACTATTGCCGACCGCCTCCGGAGCGATTGCGTCGAAGTTTCTCCGTGCGCGCGCACCCTCCGTTACCCTTGGCGATTTGGCGGCGAGCGCAGCCGTGTTGCTGTCGCAGCAGCGCAGTTGTCTGCAATCTGGCGGGGACAGGCGGAGCGGGGGAATCAAAGGTGGTGGAGAGCGGGGGAAGCGGGGAAAGTCGGGAGTGGGAGATGGGAGGGGGAGAATGCGTGGAGGACGCGTGAACATCGTTCTGCGGCAAGAAGCGGTGGAGGAGAAGCGGGCGGGCACGGCTGCAAGGGGAGTGAGCGTGGGGGAGGTGGTGCGGGGAAGCGGCGCGGAGGAGGGAGGGCAGGCAGCGGCGTCACACATGACCGTGCGTGAGGGCGAGCACGTGGGACGAGGCTGTGCTGCAGGGGTGGGGGAGAGGGCGGCAGCAGGGCGAGGAGACAGTGCGGCAGCAGAGGAGCGGGGCACAGCAGTCCCGATCTCACACGCGCACGCACAGCCCGCACCCACGTGTGCTGACCTGCCTGTGCTGGGCGCCATGACGCCAGGGTCAGCCCCCCCCACCCTAGGGTCAGCCCCCCCACCCTAGGGTCAGCCCCCCCCACCCTAGGGTCAGCCCCCCCACCCTAGGGTCAGCTCCCCCCACCCTAGGGTCAGCCCCCCCCCACCCTAGGGTCAGCCCCCCCACCCTAGGGTCAGCCCCCCCACCCTAGGGCCAGCCCCTCCCACCCTAGGGTCAGCCCCCCTACCCTAGGGTCAGCCCCCCCCACCCTAGGGTCAGCCCCCCCCACCCTAGGGTCAGCCCCCCCCACCCTAGGGTCAGCCCCCCACCTTAGGGGCAGCAGGCCCCTGGTCAGACGCGGCCTTGAGTATGGGCAGTCATAGGAGCGCCCATGCGGATGCATGCGCATCCATGGAGGGCCACCTGAGCAAGGAGCCATCTCTGCTCGTCTTCTCCGGTACCCTCCCGCTGCTCCCGCTGCCTTGCCTGCCCCCGTCGCCTGCCGCCACCCCTGCCGCTCTACATGCTGACGTGCACCTCTCTCTCTCTCTCTCTCTCTCTCTCTGTGGTGCCGGTGCCGGCCTTGTGCCCCTGTGCGTGCATGGTGCGGCACGGCAGGAGGCACGGCGTTCAACGCAGTGGCGGAGGCGCTACACGAGTGGACCACCACTGTGGCGCACGTGCTGCCCGTCTCTGATGATGGCGGCAGCACCGCAGTGATTGTGCGCGTCATAGGTCAGCCACTCACTCACACCCTGCTGCTCTCTGCCTCACCGCTCCCCTGCAAGGTGGTTCTACTGTTGCCACACCACGCTGCCACATCACGCTGCCACACCACACTGCCACACCACGCTTCTCATGCTCCCTCCAGCGCCCACCTCTCTCACTCCGCACCCGCTTTGACCCCCTCATCCCGCACCCCTCATCCCGCACCCCTCATCCCGCACCCCTCATCCCGCACCACTCTCTCTCTGCCCCCAAGCGGGCCTGCCATCGGTGACATTCGCTCCCGCTGCCTGCGGCTGTCCGACGGGTCCAGCCACGAGGCCAGAGCAGTGCGGCGACTGCTTGGACACCGCCTGCCACTGCACCCCGCGCAAGCCAAGGCTGAATGGTGACCTCGCGCCCACACCACACCACACCCATCACAACCACTTACTACATCCATCACCCGCCCACCGTTCTCTGTGGGCTGGTGCGCACGACTCACTCACAGTGGGGCGTGCCATGGGCATGTGGTGTGTGTGTGTGGGTGCGGTGGGTGTGCAGGCTGAGCATAGTGGAGGGCGAGCATGAGCTGTGGGGGGACGTGTCGGATCCATACAAAGAGATCATCCGCGCCTTCCTCCTGCACTTCCACTACCAGGTTCGCCTCCTGCACTTCCACTACCAGGTTCGCCTCCTGGCACTTCCACTACCAGGTTCGCCTCCTGCACTTCCACTACCAGTGTGGGCAACTTCTTCTCAGGCGCGCGCGCCTTCTTCCGCTCGCTGGACGCCGCCATCTTCCTCTTCTCGCGCGTCTCCAACATCCCGCAGCGCAGCCTCGTGCTGCCCTGTGTCTGTACCAATGACCGCTTCACTCTCGGCGCCGAGCTCTACGTAGCCCCCCCCCCCCCCCCCCCCCCCCCCCCCCCACATCCCCCCCCACACACCACTTCCTCCCTTTAGCCATGCCTCTCATCCCACCTCCCATACTGACAAAAGCCCCTGCCTAGCTCTTTCACCGCCTCCATTGCCTATCATTGCAGTGTGACCCACTTTGGCCCCGCATTAGCATTGCATGGCCATCCCCTTTCAGTGATTACCATACGGCCCATGTCTCCTTCCACTCACTCCAGTGACCTGTCCCAATTTTCATCTAATCCCAATATCCCTCCCCTATGTCTTTGTGCGTGCGACCCGCCCTTCCCGTATGCGTGTTGGCGCACCACATGGTGTGTTGGCGCACCACATGGTGTGGTGGCGCACCACATGGTGTGGTGGCGCACCACATGGTGTGTTGGCGCACCACATGGTGTGTTGGCGCACCACATGGTGTGTTGGCGCACCACATGGTGTCTTGGCGCACCACATGGTGTGTTGGCGCACCACATGGTGTGTTGGCGCACCACATGGCGTGTTGGCGCACCACATGGTGTGGTGGCGCACCACATGGTGTGTTGGCGCACCACATGGTGTGTTGGCGCACCACATGGTGTGTTGGCGCACCACATGGTGTGTTGGCGCACCACATGGTGTGGTGGCGCACCACATGGTGTGGTGGCGCACCACATGGTGTGGTGGCGCACCACATGGTGTGGTGGCGCACCACATGGTGTGGTGGCGCACCACATGGTGTGTTGGCGCACCACATGGTGTCTTGGCGCACCACATGGTGTTGGCATGGGCATCAGGACTGCACCATCATCCGCGGGCAGAACGACATCTCACACCCCGCTGTCGTGGACAGCCCACGCCACCTGCCGCTCACCGTTGACAAGGTCACACTGCACTGCTCCCACCGCCTTGTTGCTGCAATGCCGCCTCTGCATGCCTCGACGGCCCTCTCACACCCACACACGTCCACCACCCAGGTTGATGGAGTGTGCTCACGTGTGCTCCTCCTGCTGCCTGTCTTCCTCTCCCATTTCCTACCCCCATTCTCTCTGCAGTCGTCTGACGTGTCACCTCCTCTGCCCGCACCATCCGCCGTGTGTTCTACATGTCGAGTGAAGGCACCAACCTGCTGCATGAGGTGCGTGTCGAGTGAAGGCACTAACCTGCTGCATGAGGTGCGTGTCAAGTGAAGGCACCAACCTGCTGCATGAGGTGCGTGTCGAGTGAAGGCACCAACCTGCTGCATGAGGTGCGTGTCGAGTGAAGGCACCAACCTGCTGCATGAGGTGCGTGTCATGGGCTCACCTCAGTGCCGCCTGCCATGGGCTCACTTCAGTGCCGCTTGCCATGGGCTCACCTCAGTGCCGCCTGCCATGGGCTCACCTCAGTGCCGCCATGTGCGCCACCTCTGGGATGCTTCAAGCTGTCAACTGCTGGAACTGCTGCATCTTGCATGTGCCCCTTAGCTGCAATCTTTTATCACCGTGTGTGAGGGTCGTTGGTGTGTGGTGTGTGGCAGGTGTTCCCTTGTGTGAGCGTTTTTGTTCCACCGGGTCACGTGGCTGTGCTTCTCTGGTCCTATTACCAAGCCAGCAAGGGTGTGAGAGGGTTGCGAGCATCATCGGTTATCGGCAATCTCCAATGGAGAGCGCCCGCTGCACTTCCTACACATGTGCGTATCCTTCCGTATTTTGAGGCTTGAAGCGCTCGTTCCGAGAGTTTTTCTTGCACCGCGTCACGCTGCTGCGCTTGTCTGGTCCTATTACCAAGCCAGCAATGGCGTGGGAGGGTTGCGAGCATCATCGGTCATCTGATCGCGAATGGAGAGCGCGCCCGCTGCACTTCCTGCACATGTGCGTATGCTTCCGCATTTTGGGGCTGGAAGCACTCGTTCCGAGCGTTTTCCTTCCGCCGGGTCACGTTGCTGCGCTTCTCTGGTCCTATTACCAAGCCAGCAAGGGCATGCGAGGGTTGCGAGCATCATCGGTCACCGGCGCTAGCGAATGGAGAGTGCCCGCTGCACTTCCTGCACATGTGCGTATCCTTCCGCATTTTGAGGCTGGAAGCGCTCGTTCCGCGAGTTTTTCTTCCGCCGGGTCACGTGGTTGCACTTCTCTGGTCCTATTACCAAGCCAGCAAGGTTATGGGAGGGTTGCGAGCATCATCAGTCATCGGCGATCGCGAATGGAGAGCGCCCGCTGCACTTCCTGCACATGTGTGTATCCTTCCGCATTTTAGGGCTGGAAGCACTCGTTCCGAGCGTTTTTCTTCCACCGGGTCACGTAACTGCGCTTGTCTGGTCCTATTACCAAGCCAGCAAGGGCATGGGAAGGTTGCGAGCATCATCGGTCATCGGCGATCGCGAATGGAGAGCGCCCTGCACTTCCTGCACATGTGCGCATCCTTCCGTATTTTGGGGCTGGAAGCGCTCGTTCCGAGTGTTTTTCTTCCGCCGGGTCACGCAGCTGTGCTTGTCTGGTCCTATTACCAAGCCAGCAAGGGCATGGGAGGGTTGCGAGCATCATCGGTCATCGGCGATCGCGAATGGAGAGCGCCCTGCACTTCCTGCACATGTGCGTATCCTTCCGTATTTTGGGGCTGGAAGCGCTCGTTCCGAGCGTTTTTCTTCCGCCGGGTCACGCAGCTGTGCTTGTCTGCTCCTATTACCAAGCCAGCAAGGGCATGGGAGGGTTGTGATTATCATCGGTCATCGGCGCTCGCGAATGAAGAGCGCCCGCTGCACTTCCTGCACATGTGCTGATCCTTCCGCATTTTGAGGCTGGATGCGCTTGTTCTGGGCGTTTTTGTTCCGCCGGGTCACGTGGCTATGCTTCTCTGGTCCTATTACCAAGCCAGCAAGGGCGTGAGAGGGTTGCGAGCATCATCGGTCATCGGCGATCGCCAATGGAGAGCGCCCGCAGCACTTCCTACACATGTGCGTATCCTTCTGTATTTTGGGGCTGGAAGCGCTCGTTCCGAGCGTTTTTCTTGCACCGGGTCACGCTGCTGTGCTTGTCTGGTCCTATTACCAAGCCAGTAATGGCGTGGGAGGGTTGCGAGCATCATCGGTCATCTGATCGCGAATGGAGAGAGCGCCCGCTGCACTTCCTGCACATGTGCGTATGCTTCCGCATTTTAGGGCTGGAAGCACTCGTTCCGAGCGTTTTCCTTCCCCCGGGTCACGTGGCTGCGCTTCTCTGGTCCTATTACCAAGCCAGCAAGGGCATGGGAGGGTTGCGAGCATCATCGGTCACCGGCGCTCGCGAATGGAGAGTGCCCGCTGCACTTCCTGCACATGTGCGTATCCTTCCGCATTTTGAGGCTGGAAGCGCTCGCTCCGCGAGTTTTTCTTCCGCCGGGTCACGTGGTTGCACTTCTTTGGTCCTATTACCAAGCCAGCAAGGGTATGGGAGGGTTGCAAGCATCATCAGTCATCGACGATCGCGAATGGAGAGCGCCCGCTGCACTTCCTGCACATGTACGTATCCTTCCGCATTTTGAGGCTGGAATCGCTCGTTCCGAGCAATTTTCTTCCGCCGGGTCACGCGGCTGCGCTTGTCTGGTCCTATTACCAAGCCAGCAAGGGCATGGGAGGGTTGCGAGCATCATCGGTCATCGGCGCTCGCGAATGGAGAGCGCCCGCTGCACTTCTGCACATGTGCGTATCCTTCCGTATTTTGAGCCTGGAAGCGTTCGTTCCGAGCGTTTTTCTTCCACTAGGTCACGTGGCTGCGCTAATCTGGTCCTTTTACCAAGCCTGCAAGGGCGTGGGAGGGTTGCGAGCATCATCGATCATCGGCGATCGCGAATGGAGAGTGCCCGCTGCACTTCTTGCACATGTGCGTATCCTTCCGCATTATGGGACTAGAAGCGCTTGTTCCGAGCAATTTTGTTCCGCCGGGTCGACGTAGACGTGGACGTGGACGTGGACGTGGACGTGGTGGACATAGACGTGGTGGAAGTGGACGTGGACGTGGTGAACGTGGACGTGGTCGTGGACGTGGTGGACATGGACGTGGACGTGGTGAACGTGGACGTGGTCGTGGTCGTGGACGTGGACGTGGACGCGGTCGCGGACGCGGACGCGGACGGGGACGCGTGGACTTGGACGCGCACGCGGACGCGGTCGCGGTCGCGGACGTGGACGCGGACGCGGTCGTGGACGTGGTCGCGGACGCGGACGTGGTCGCGGACGCGGACGTGGACGTGGACGTGGTCGCGGTCGTGGACGTGGACGTGGACCTGGACGTGGACGTGGACGTGGACCTGGACGTGGACGCGGACGTGGACGTGGACGTGGACGTGGACGACGTGGACATGGATGTTGTGGACCTGGACGTGGACGTGGACGCGGTCGTGGACGTGGACGCGGGCGTGGACGTGGACGCGGTCGCGGACTTGGACGCGGACTTGGACGCGGTCGTGGACGTGGACGCGGACTTGGACGCGGTCGCGGACGTGGACGCGGTCGTGGACGCGGTCGTGGACGCGGTCGTGGACGTGGACGCGGACTTGGACGCGTTCGTGGACGTGGACGTGGACGGGGACACGGTCGTGGACGTGGACGTGGTCGTGGACGTGGACGTGGACGGGGACGTGGACGTGGACCTGGACGTGGACGTGGACCTGGACGTGGACGTGGTCGGGGACGTGGACCTGGACGTGGGCGTGGACGTGGAGGACGTGGACGTGGACGCGGACGCGGACGTGCGGACGTGGACGTGGACGCGGACGTGGACGTGGTGGACGTGGACGCGGACGTGGACGTGGTGGACGTGGACGCGGACGTGGACATGGTGGACGTGGACGTGGACGTGGTCGCGGGCGTGGACGTGGACGTGGACGCGGTCGTGGATGTGGACGAGGTCGCGGACGTGGTCGTGGACGCGGACGCGGACGTGGACGTGGACGCGGACGCGGACGTGGTCGTGGACGCGGACGTGGGCGGGGACGTGGACGGACGCGGTCGTGGACGTGGACGTGGACGTGGGCGTGGACGTGGGCGCGGTCGTGGTGGTCGTGGACGTGGACGTGGTGGTGGACGTGGACGTGGACGTGGACGTGGGCGTGGACGTGGACTTGGACGTGGGCGTGGACGTGGACGTGGACGTGGGCGTGGACGTGGACGTGGACGTGGGCGTGGACGTGGATGTGGACGTGGGCGTGGACGCGGACGTGGAAGCGGTCGCGGACGCGGACGTGGACGCGGTCGTGGACGGGGTCGTGGACGCGGACGCGGTCGTGGACGCGGTCGTGGACGCGGACGTGGACGCGGTCGTGGACGTGGACGTGCGGTCGTGGACGTGGACGCGTGGACGTGGACGCGGACGCGGACGTTGCGGACGTGGACGCGGACGTGGCGGACGTGGACGCGGACGTGGTCGTGACGCAGACGCGGACGTGGTCGTGACGCGGACGCGGACGCGGACGTGGACGCGGACGAGGACGCGGACGTGGACGCGGACGCGGACGTGGACGCGGACGCGGACGTGGACGCGGACGCGGTCGTGGACGCGGACGTGGACGCGGTCGCGGACGTCGACGCGGACGCGGATGCGGACGTGGAGCGGACGCGGACGTGGACGCGGACGCGGTGGACGTGGACGTGGACGTTGATGCGGCTGGGACGTGGACGAGGACGTGGACGTGAACGCGGACATGGTCGTGGACGTGGATGCGGACGTGGACGTGGACGTCGTGGACGCGGACGTGGACGCGGACGTGGACGTGGACGTGGTGGACGTGGACGCGGACCCGGTCGCGGACGCGGACGTGGACGCGGACGCGGACGTGGACGTGGAGGACGTGGTCGTGGACGCGGACGAGGACGTGGAGCACGTGGTCGTGGACGTGGACGTGGACGCGATCATGGACGTGGTCGTGGACGCGGACGCGGACGCGGACGCGGACGTGGACGTGGACGTGGACGCGGACGTGGTCGTGGACGTGGACGTGGGCGTGGACATGGATCCGGTCGTGGTGGTCATGGACGTGGACGTGGACGGGTTGGTGGATGTGGACGTGGACGTGGACCTCGACGTGGACGCGGACGTGGACGTGGACGTGGTCGTGGACGTGGACGACGTGGACGTGGACGTGGTGGACCTGGACGTGGACGTGGACGTGGACGTGGACGTGGACGCGGTCGTGGACGCGGTCGTGGACGTGGACGCGGACGCGGTCGTGGACGTGGACGCGGTCGTGGACGCGGACGCGGTCGTGGACGCGGTCGTGGACGTGGACGCGGTCGCGGACGCGGTCGTGGACGTGGACGCGGACGCGGACGCGGTCGTGGACGTGGACGCGGACTTCGACACGGTCGTGGTCGTGGACGTGGACGCGGACGCGGTCGTGGACGTGGACGCGGTCGTCGACGCGGTCGTGGACGTGGACGCGGACTTCGACGCGGTCGTGGACGTGGACGCGGACTTCGACGCGGTCGTGGACGTGGACGTGGACGTGGACGGGGACGCGGTCGTGGACGTGGACGTGGTCGTGGACGCGGCCGTGGACGTGGACGGGGACGTGGACGTGGACGTGGTCGGGGACGTGGACGTGGACGTGGGTCGGGGACGTGGACGTGGACGTGGGCGTGGACGTGGAGGACGCGGACGTGGGCGTGGACGTGGAGGACGCGGACGTGGACGTGGACGAGGAGGACGCGGACGTGGACGTAGACGTGGTGGACGTGGACGTGGACGTGGTGGACGTTGACGTGGACGTCGACGCGATCGTGGACGTGGACGTGGACGCGGACATGGGCATGGATGCGGACGTGGACGCGGACATGGGCATGGACGCGGACGTGGACGTGGTCGTGGACGTAGACGTGGGTGTGGACGCGGACGTGGACGTGGTCGTGGACGTGGGCGTGGACGTGGACGGACGCGGTCGTGGACATGGATGCGGGCGTGGACGTGGACGCGGTCGTGGTGGTCGTGGACGTGGACGCGGACGTGGACGTGGTCGTGGACGTGGGCGTGGACGTGGACGGACGCGGTCGTGGACATGGACGCGGGCGTGGACGTGGACGCGGTCGTGGTGGTCGTGGACGTGGTGGTGGGCGTGGACGCGGACGTGGACGTAGGCGTGGACGTGGGCGTGGACGTGGACGGACGCGGTCGTGGACGTGGACGTGGACGTGGACGTGGACGTGGACGCGGACGTGGACGAGGACGCGGCCGAGGACGTGGACGTGGACGTGGACGTGGTCGTGGACGTGGTCGTGGACGTGGACGTGGTCGCAGACGTGGTCGCGGACGTGGACGTGGACGAGGTCGCGGACGTGGACGTGGACGAGGACGCGGTCGCGGACGTGGACGAGGACGCGGTCGAGGACGTGGACGTGGACGAGGACGCGGTCGAGGACGCGGACGAGGACGCGGTCGTGGACGCGGACGAGGACGCGGTCGAGGACGCGGACGAGGACGCGGTCGTGGACGCGGACGCGGACGCGGTCGTGGACGCGGACGCGGACGCGGTCGTGGACGCGGACGCGGACGCGGTCGAGGACGCGGACGCGGTCGCGGACGCGGACGTGGACGCGGTCGTGGACGCGGACGTGGACGCGGTCGTGGACGCGGACGTGGACGCGGACGTGGACGCGGACGTGGACCCGGACGTGGACCCGGACGTGGACCTGGACGTGGACGTGGTCGTGGACGTAGACGTGGACGCGGACGCGGACGCGGTCGTGGACGCGGACGTGGACGGGACGTGGACGTGGATGACGTGGACGTGGACGTGGTGGACCTGGACGTGGAGGTGGACGCGGTCGTGGACGCGGTCGTGGACGTGGACGTGGACGTGGACGCGGACGCGGACGTGGACGTGGACGTGGTGGACGTGGACGTGGACGTGGTCGTGGGCGTGGACGTGGACGTGGACGCGGTCGTGGGCGTGGACGAGGTCGCGGGCGTGGACGTGGACGTGGACGCGGTCGGGGACGTGGACGAGGTCGCGGACGTGGTCGTGGACGCGGACGCGGTCGCGGACGTGGACGTGGACGCGGACGCGGACGTGGTCGTGGACGCGGACGTGGGCGGGGACGTGGACGGACGCGGTCGTGGACGTGGACGTGGACGTGGGCGTGGACGTGGGCGCGGTCGTGGTGGTCGTGGACGTGGACGTGGTGGTGGACGTGGACGTGGACGTGGACGTGGGCGTGGACGTGGACTTGGACGTGGGCGTGGACGTGGTCGTGGACGCGGACGTGGACGCGGTCGCGGACGCGGACGTGGACGCGGTCGTGGATGGGGTCGTGGACGCGGACGCGGTCGTGGACGCGGTCGTGGACGCGGACGTGGACGCGGTCGTGGACGTGGACGTGTGGTCGTGGACGTGGACGCGTGGACGTGGACGCGGACGCGGACGTTGCGGACGTGGACGCGGATGTGGCGGACGTGGACGCGGACGTGGTCATGACGCGGACGCGGACGCGGACGCGGACGGGGACGCGGACGAGGACGCGGACGAGGACGCGGACGCGGACGCGGACGGGGACGCGGACGCGGTCGTGGACGCGGACGTGGACGCGGACGCGGACGTCGACGCGGACGCGGACGGGGACGCGGACGCGGAGGCGGACGCGGACGGGGACGTGGTCGACGCGGACGCGGACGGGGACGCGGTCGTGGACGGGGACGCGGTCGTGGACGCGGACGCGGACGTGGACGACGCGGTCGTGGACGCGGACGCGGACGTGGACGACGCGGTCGTGGACGCGGACGCGGACGTGGACGACGCGGTCGTGGACGCGGACGCGGACGTGGACGACGCGGTCGTGGACGCGGACGCGGACGTGGACGCCGCGGTCGTGGACCGGGACGCGGACGTGGACGCCGCGGACGTGGACCTGGACGCGGTCGTGGAGGACGCGGACGCGGACGCGGTCGCGGACGCGGATGCGGACGTGGACGTGGACGTGGACGGGGACGCGGACGTGGACGTGGACGGGGACGCGGACGCGGTCGTGGACGGGGACGCGGACGTGGACGCGGACGGGGACGCGGACGTGGGCGCGGACGGGGACGCGGACGTGGGCGTGGACGTGGACGTGGTGGACGTGGACGTGGACGTGGACGCGGACGTGGACGCGATCGTGGACGTGGACGTGGTGGACGTGGACGTGGACGTCGACGCGATCGTGGACGTGGACGTGGACGCGGACGTGGTCGTGGACGTGGTGGACGTGGACGTGGACGTGGTGGACGTGGACGTGGTTGCGACGCGATCGTGGACGTGGACGTGGACGCGGACGTGGTCGTGGACGTGGACGCGGTCGTGGACGTGGACGTGGACGCGGTCGCGGACGTGGATGTGGACGGACGTGGACGTGGACGCCGTCGTGGACGCGGACGCGGTCGCGGTCGTTGACGCGGTCGTGGACGTGGACGTGGACGCCGTCGTGGACGCGGACGCGGTCGTGGACGTGGACGTGGACGTGGGCGTGGACGTGGACGGACGCGGTCGTGGACGTGGACGTGGACGCGGACGTGGACGTGGACGAGGACGCGGTCGTGGACCTGGACGTGGACGCGGACGTGGTCGTGGACGTGGTCGTGGACGAGGACGTGGACGTGGACGTGGACTCGGTCGCGGACGTGGTCGCGGACGTGGTCGCGGACGCGGACGTGGTTGCGGACGTGGTCGCGGACGTGGTCGCGGACGCGGTCGTGGTTGCGGACGTGGACGCGGACGTGGACGTGTACGCGGACGTGGACCCGGACGCGGACGTGGTCGCGGACGTGGTCGCGGACGTGGTCGCGGACGCGGTCGTGGTTGCGGACGTGGACCCGGACGTGGACGTGTACGTGGTCGTGGACGCGGACGCGGACGTGGTCGTGGACGCAGGCGTGGACGTGGACGGACGCGGGCGTGGACGTGGGCGCAGTCGTGGTGGTCGTGGACGTGGACGTGGTGGTGGACGTGGACGTGGACGTGGACGTGGGCGTGAACGTGGCCGTGGACGTGGACGTGGACGTGGTCGTGGACCTGGACGTGGTCGTGGACGTGGTCGCGGACGTGGACGCGGTCGCGGACGTCGCGGACGTGGACGCGGTCGCGGACGCGGACGTCGCGGACGCGGACGTGGACGCGGTCGTGGACGGGGTCGTGGACGTGGACGTGGACGCGGTCGCGGACGCGGTCGTGGACGCGGTCGCGGTCGCGGACGCGGACGCGGTCGCGGACGCGGACGTGGACGCGGTCGTGGACGTGGACGCGTGGTCGTGGACGTGGACGTGGACGAGGACGCGGACGTGGCGGACGTGGACGCGGACGTGGCGGACGTGGACGCGGACGTGGCGGACGTGGACGCGGACGTGGCGGACGTGGACGCGGACGTGGCGTACGTGGACGTGGACGTGGACGTGGTCGTGACGCGGTCGTGGACGCGGTCGTGGACGCGGACGTGGACGCGGTCGCGGACGTCGACGCGGACGCGGACGTCGACGTGGACACAGACGTGGAGCGGACGCGGACGCGGACGTGGACGTGGACGTGGACGCGGTGGTGGTCGTGGACGTGAACGTGGTCGTGGACGTGGACGTGGACGTTGACGCGGTGGTGGACGTTGACGCGGTGGTGGTCGTGGACGTGGACGTGGACGTGGACGTGGACGTGGACGTGGTCGTGGACGTTGACGCGGTGGTGGTCGTGGACGTTGACGCGGTGGTGGTCGTGGACGTGGACGTGGACGTGGACGTGGACGCGGACGTGGACGTGGACGCGGACGTGGACGTCGTGGACGCGGACGTGGATGTCGTGCACGCGGACGTGGACGTCGTGCACGTGGACGTGGACGTGGTCGCGGACGTGGACGTGGACGCGGACGTGGACGTCGTGGACGCGGACGTGGACGTCGCGGACGTGGACGTCGTGGACGTGGACGTGGACGTGGACGTGGACGTGGACGTGGTGGACGTGGACGCGAACGTCGACGTGGACGTGGACGCGGACATGGTCGTGGACGTGGACGAGGACGAGGACGTGGACGTGCACGTGGACGAGGACGTGGACGCGGACATGGTCGTGGACGTGGACGTGGTCGTGGACGTGGACCGGTAGGTTCAACCCACCGTGTGTTCAACCCACCGTGTGTTCAACCCACCGTGTGTTAAACCCTCCGTGTGTTCAACACACCGTGTGTTCAACCCACCGTGTGTTCAACCCACCGTGTGTTAAACCTACCGTGTGTTCAACACACCGTGTGTTCAACACACCGTGTGTTCAACACACCGTGTGTTCAACCCACCGTGTCTTCAACCCACCGTGTGTTCAACCCACCGTGTGTTCAACCCACCGTGTGTTAAACCTACCGTGTGTTCAACCCACCGTGTATTCAACCCACCGTGTGTTCAACCCACCGTGTGTTAAACCTACGTGTGTTCAACCCACCGTGTGTTCAACCCATTGTGTGTTCAACCCACCGTGTGTTAAACCTACCGTGTGTTCAACCCACTGTGCGTTCAACCCACCGTGAGTTAAACCCACCGTGTATTCAACCCACCGTGTGTTCAACACACCGTGTGTTCAACCCACCGTGTGTTCAACCAACCGTGTGTTAAACCCTCCGTGTGTTCAACACACCGTGTGTTCAACCCACCGTGTGTTCAACCCACCGTGTGTTAAACCTACCGTGTGTTCAACACACCGTGTGTTCAACACACCGTGTGTTCAACCCATCTTGTGTTCAACACACCGTGTGTTCAACCCACCGTGTGTTAAACCCACCGTGTGTTAAACCCACCGTGTGTTAAACCCACCGTGTGTTAAACCCACCGTGTGTTAAACCCACCGTGTGTTAAACCTACCGTGTGTTCAACCCACCGTGTGTTCAACCCACCGTGTGTTCAACCCACCGTGTGTTCAACCCACCGTGTGTTCAACCCTCCGTGTGTTAAACCCACCGTGTGTTCAACCCACCGTGTGTTCAACCCACCGTGTGTTAAACCCACCGTGTGTTCAACCCACAGTGTTTTCAACCCACCGTGTGTTCAACCCACCATGTGTTCAACCCACCAAGTGTTAAACCAACCGTGTGTTCAACCCACCGTGTGTTAAACCTACCGTGTGTTGAACCTACCGTGTGTTAAACCTACCGTGTGTTCAACCCACCGTGTGTTAAACCCACCGTGCGTTCAACCCACCGTGTGTTAAACCCACCGTGCGTTCAACCCACCGTGTGTTAAACCCACCGTGTGTTAAACCCACCGTGTGTTAAACCTACCGTGTGTTCAACCCACCGTGTGTTAAACCTACCGTGTGTTAAACCTACCGTGTGTTAAACCTACCGTGTGTTAAACCTACCATGTGTTCAACCCACCGTGTGTTAAACCCACCGTGTGTTAAACCCACCGTGTTTTCAACCCACAGTGTGTTCAACCCACTGTGTGTTAAACCTACCGTGTGTTAAACCTACCGTGTGTTAAACCTACCGTGTGTTAAACCTACCGTGCGTTCAACCCACCGTGTGTTAAACCCACCGTGCGTTCAACCCACCGTGTGTTAAACCCACCGCGTGTTAAACCCACCGTGTGTTAAACCTACCGTGTGTTAAACCCACCGTCTGTTAAACCTACCGTGTGTTAAACCTACCGTGTGTTAAACCTACTGTGTGTTAAACCTACCGTGCGTTCAACCTACCGTGCGTTCAACCCACCGTGTGTAAAACCCACCGTGCGTTCAACCCACCGTGTGTTAAACCCACCGTGCGTTCAACCCACCGTGTGTTAAACCCACCGTGCGTTCAACCCACCGTGCGTTCAACCCACCGTGCGTTCAACCCACCGTGTGTAAAACCCACCGTGCGTTCAACCCACCGTGTGTTAAACCCACCGTGCGTTCAACCCACCGTGTGTTAAACCCACCGTGCGTTCAACCCACCGTGCGTTCAACCCACCGTGCGTTCAACCCACCGTGTGTAAAACCCACCGTGCGTTCAACCCACCGTGTGTTAAACCCACCGTGCGTTCAAACCACCGTGTGTTAAACCCACCGCGTGTTAAACCCACCGTGTGTTAAACCCACCGTGTGTTAAACCTACCGTGTGTTAAACCCACCGTGTGTTAAACCTACCGTGTGTTAGACCTACCGTGTGTTAAACCTACTGTGTGTTAAACCTACCGTGTGTTAAATCTACCGTGTGTTCAACCCACCGTGTGTTAAACCCACCGTGTGTTAAACCCACCGTGTCTTCAACCCACCGTGTGTTCAGCCCACCGTGTGTTAAACCTACCGTGTGTTCAACCCACCGTGTGTTAAACCTACCGTGTGTTAAACCTACCGTGTGTTTAACCTTCCGTGTGTTAAACCTACCGTGTGTTCAACCCACCGTGTGTTAAACCCACCGTGCGTTCAACCCACCGTGCGTTAAACCCACCGTGCGTTCAACCCACCGTGTGTTAAACCCTCCGCGTGTTAAACCCACCGTGTGTTAAACCCACCGTGTGTTAAACCCACAGTGTGTTAAACCCACCGTGTGTTAAACCTACCGTGTGTTCAACCCACCGTGTGTTAAACCTACCGTGTGTTAAACCTACCGTGTGTTAAACCTACCGTGTGAAAAACCTACCGTGTGTTAAACCTACCGTGTGTTCAACCCACCGTGTGTTAAACCCACCGTGTGTTAAACCCACCGTGTGTTCAACCCACCGTGTGTTCAACCCACCGTGTGTTAAACCTACGTGTGTTCAACCCACCGTGTGTTCAACCCACCGTGTGTTCAACCCACCGTGTGTTAAACCTACCGTGTGTTCAAGTGTGTTCAACCCGCCGTGTGTTAAACCTACCGTGTGTTCAACCCACCGTGTGTTCAACCCACCGTGTGTTCAACCCACTGTGTGTTCAACCCACCGTGTGTTAAACCAGCCGTGTGTTCAACCCACCGTGTGTTAAACATACCGTGTGTTAAACCTACCGTGTGTTAAACCTACCGTGTGTTAAACCTACCGTGTGTTCAACCCACCGTGTGTTAAACCCACCGTGCGTTCAACCCACCGTGTGTTAAACCCACCGTGCGTTAAACCCACCGTGTGTTAAACCTACCGTGTGTTCAACCCACCGTGTGTTCAACCCACCGTGTGTTCAACGCACCGTGTGTTCAACCCACCGTGTGTTAAACCCACCGTGTGTTCAACCCACCGTGTGTTCAACCCACCGTGTGTTAAACCTACGTGTGTTCAACCCACCGAGTGTTCAACCCACCGTGTGTTAAACCAACCGTGTGTTCAACCCACCGTGTGTTGAACCCACCGTGCGTTCAACCCACCGTGTGTTAAACCCACCGTGCGTTCAACCCACCGTGTGTTCAACCCACCGTGTGTTTAACCTACCGTGTGTTCAACCCACCGTGTGTTAAACCCACCGTGCGTTCAACCCACCGTGTGTTAAACCCACCGTGCGTTCAACCCACCGTCTGTTAAACCCACCGCGTGTTAAACCCACCGTGTGTTAAACCCACCGTGTGTTAAACCCACCGTGTGTTAAACCCACCGTGTGTTAAACCTACCGTGTGTTCAACCCACCGTGTGTTAAACCTACCGTGTGTTAAACCTACCGTGTGTTAAACCTACCGTGTGTTAAACCTACCGTGTGTTAAACCTACCGTGTGTTCAACCCACCGTGTGTTAAACCTACCGTGTGTTAAACCTACCGTGTGTTCAACCCACCGTGTGTTAAACCCACCGTGTGTTAAACCCACCGTGTTTTCAACCCACCGTGTGTTCAACCCACCGTGTGTTAAACCTACCGTGTGTTAAACCTACCGTGTGTTAAACCTACCGTGTGTTAAACCTACCGTGCGTTCAACCCACCGTGTGTTAAACCCACCGTGTGTTAATCCCACCGTGTGTTAAACCCACCGTGTGTTAAACCCACCGTGTGTTAAACCTACCGTGTGTTAAACCTACCGTGTGTTAAACCTACCGTGTGTTAAACCTACCGTGTGTTAAACCTACCGTGTGTTAAACCTACCGTGTGTTCAACCCACTGTGTGTTAAACCCACCGTGTGTTAAACCCACCGTGTGTTCAACCCACCGTGTGTTCAACCCACCGTGTGTTAAACCTACGTGTGTTCAACCCACCGTGTGTTCAACCCACCGTGTGTTCAACCCACCGTGTGTTAAACCTACCGTGTGTTCAAGTGTGTTCAACCCGCCGTGTGTTAAACCTACCGTGTGTTCAACCCACCGTGTGTTCAACCCACCGTGTGTTCAACCCACCGTGTGTTCAACCCACCGTGCGTTAAACAAACCGTGTGTTCAACCCACCGTGTGTTAAACATACCGTGTGTTAAACCTACCGTGTGTTAAACCTACCGTGTGTTAAACCTACCGTGTGTTCAACCCACCGTGTGTTAAATCCACCGTGCGTTCAACCCACCGTGTGTTAAACCCACCGTGCGTTCAACCCACCGTGTGTTAAACCCACCGTGTGTTCAACCCACTGTGTGTTCAACCCACCGTGTGTTAAACCTACCGTGTGTTCAACCCACTGTGTGTTAAACCTACCGTGTGTTAAACCTACCGTGTGTTAAACCTACCGTGTGTTAAACCTACCGTGTGTTCAACCCACCGTGTGTTAAACCCACCGTGCGTTCAACCCACCGTGTGTTAAACCCACCGTGCGTTCAACCCACCGTGTGTTAAACCCACCGCGTGTTAAACCCACCGTGTGTTAAACCCACCGTGTGTTAAACCCACCGTGCGTTAAACCCACCGTGTGTTAAACCTACCGTGTGTTCAACCCACCGTGTGTTAAACCTACCGTGTGTTAAACCTACCGTGTGTTAAACCTACCGTGTGTTAAACCGACCGTGTGTTCAACCCACTGTGTGTTAAACCCAACGTGTGTTAAACCCACCGTGTTTTCAACCCACCGTGTGTTCAACCCACCGTGTGTTAAACCCACCGCGTGTTAAACCCACCGTGTGTTAAACCCACCGTGTGTTAAACCCACCGTGCGTTAAACCCACCGTGTGTTAAACCTACCGTGTGTTCAACCCACCGTGTGTTAAACCTACCGTGTGTTAAACCTACCGTGTGTTAAACCTACCGTGTGTTAAACC